GTACTGGACCTCAGTGTCCGGGCGGAACGGTGGGGGTGGAGAGGCTCCTTCAGGTATACTGGACCGAGGCCGTTTAGGGCTTTAGAGGTCAACACTGACACTTTGAATTGTGCTCGGAAACGTACTGGGAGCCAATGCAGATCTCTCAGGACCAGTGTTATGTGGTCTCGGCGGCTGCCCCTACCAGTCTAGCTGCCGCATTCTGGATTAGTTGTAGTTTCTGGGTCACCTTCAAAGGTAGCCCCACATAGAGCACATTGCAGTAGTTCAGGTAGCTGAAAACACCCCTCCCATGGTGTTCCTCATAAGAGATAAAGATGCATAGATGCATAGCACCCAGTGACTTGCAGCTGCAGTGGGCAGTTTCTCTAAAATGAAATGCTCCCTCCACCTTGTGGTGGTGAATACGTCCAAGTTCTTCCATCTTTACCACTCCAGAGACTGCTGGCTGCCTCTTCTCACCCAAGAATGCACTTGCAGTAGCAGTTGCTCTTGAATTTGCTGCAGGACACACCTGTACTTTGGCTCTGTTAGGTGGTGTTACACAGTATCTCCCTAAATTTATATTTAAGTTTTCAGTGCTTGTGTGAACACACAAACATCATGCAGTTGTTACCTGGTCTGTGTTAAGTTGTGGGTGAACATATCAGACGACACAGTGATTCTTCAAACAGCTCTTGTTTATTCACATGCCAGAACAGAACTGAACTGAAGGGTTCAGCCAGCCTGCTTATATAGAGCTCCACTAGAACGCAACAGTAACCACTTTCTGTAACTATCCAATCACTGAACGTCACTTTCAATCCCTTATTTGCATATGTGGACCTGAGTGAAAACTACCGGTATCTACAGTATCCCCCTGCTGGCCCAGGGTGAGAACTTCAGTACATAACAGTCTGCTTCTCATGCTGTTCATTTGAGGGCACCTTTATTGGGGGCTGATGATCATCCCAGCTGGGCCTATTTCACCCAAACAAAATTCCCATTTGTCTGTTTTTAAAACAACACCATTCAATCATCTTGACGCCTTCTGACTATCTTTCTGCAGAAGAGCAGAGAGAAGATACTGGTTCGAATACGTTCTCACTGCACAATAGAGGCGTCGCAGTTCCTCATTTCTGCCCTTTTCTTTAATTTCTGATTTGCACTAAACCCAACAGCAAGCATGTCTGGGACATAACACTAATACAAGTTTATTGCATGCGAGGTTAGTTTGATCTTACACATTTGTACAGTTAATTTCGACTCATCTGCAACACATACCATAGAAGACATAACAAGCTGCGTCTCAAACTATAACTCTTCAAAATATATCGGCGTGGGGAATCTGACTAAAGCACCAACAGGAGTAACAGCATATCCAGCCTCTTCCCTTTCTTCAGGTGTGCTCACAAAGAACAGTTTCATGCTGAAATGTCATGTTAGGGGAACACTTGGTAACCCACAACAACATGGTGAAGACCATGGGAAGATCTAGTGCAAAAACGCAGAGGTGGAAGTCCAGCCTAGTATGACAGCAGACTGTTTCTTCAAGACCTCCATACTGTTGTTGAAAAATTTAGGGTTGGCATTCACAGCTCATCCCTCCATGAAGGGATTCAGTGTCCCTTAAGCCCATTATTGGTCAGAGAGAAATGAATGGAAGCAGGAACCAATAGAAGGAAAGCAAGGAAATGTTTCTTTTTCTGTTGCAACAGTCGTCCCCCCCACCCACCCACTGGGTGAGGACCCAGAACAAAGGTGTGTAAAAACTTTTAAAGGTTTTAGAAATTGCCCAACCCCTTAGCCACCCAAAAGCACCACACAAGTGTTGCAGAAGGCAGATTCCAAAATTCATATTCCAGGTAGTGAATGCCCCAGATGGGCCTCCAGCATAGCTGTCAAGCGTCCCTTATTTGGAGGGACAGTCCCTTATCCCAGCGCCATGCCCCGCTGCTGTCCCTTATTGATGGATGTCCCTTAAATTTTGCGGGTTTCAAAGGAAGCAGCTCCTCTCACTCCCTCCCTGCCGGCCAGGGAGGAAGGGAGGCTCCAACTGTGTTGCTTGGCTGCCCGGCCCGCCCCCCTCCGGCCTCCTCTCACCAGCCTCGGCCCCTGGGAGCCCCTCCCCGCCGAGACTGGTGGGAGCCTCGGGCTCTTCCGCCACCATCCTCCTCGCGGCCGCCAAACTGGGCGTCTCTGCCTGGGGCCTCCCCTCTGCCTGTCACCGCCGCTCCCGCTAGACCGCACTGCCGCTGTGCCGCCGAAGGACCCGGATGAGATGGGCAGCCTGGCATGATCTATGAATTGCTGAGGAGCCTTGAGAGGAGAGCGAGGGCAACCATAGAGAAAGCAGTCCAGAGAGAGGAGGAAGAGGAGGAGGCGGAGGCACGGGCAGGTGTTCCAAGGGCTACTAGGGAAGGACCGCAAGCACTTCTCCCATAGATTTGTAGTGGTAGAGTAGCATAGATGGTCTGATCTGTGGGTTTACTTTGGGTGCTAGTTCCCCCCCCCCTCCCGCCCCACCTGATGGAATTGAGAGCTGCAGATGGAGCATGAGAGAAAAGATACAGAACTGCAGCAGCATCTTTGTAGCTTGGACTTCGTTTTGCGCGAAAAGTGGTTGCTGCTTGTAGTTATTTAATTGCAGTGTTTCATTGACTAAAATCCCTTATTTTGTCTGCTGGTCCCTTATTTTCAAGGCTGCTGTTCCCTTATTTTCAAATCTGTAAGTTGACAGCTATGGCCCGCAGGCAATTCATACTAAATGCTATGGGTCAGACTTTGGATTGGCTTATAACAACCCTGCCGTGTTGTTCAGGAATATTAGACCCTAATTGCACATTGGGTTGAAACGGGTGAATACAACAAGCCTAAAATAGAATCCATTGCTTTTTATGCAGGTTGTTGGCCAGAGAGAGTTGGGTGTGTTGCAAACCCTTCAGTGCAGTTCAGAGATGGCTAGATTGACTGGGAAAATCAGAAATCAGGAGGATCAAAACTTCAGTAGAAAATGGGACAAATATGGATTGTATTTAAAAGAACACTGGAAACACTTGAACTCTTTGGCAGGCTGTGAATAATGTTACAAAGACTTTGGATATATTGGAGGACTACAATTCTTTTTTTGACTTCCTCCGTCACTGACTAATGCAGGGCCGGGCTCAGAACCACTTTGCTATGGAGTGGGAAAGTCTCCCTGGGGTTATCTAGTCTAACCCCCTGCTATTCAGGAGCCAGCTTGTACAGTGGTACCTCGGGTTAAATATTTAATTCGTTCCGGAGGTCCATTCTTAACCTGAAACTGTTCTTAACCTGAAGCATCATCACTTTAGCTAATGGGGCCTCCTGCTGCCGTAGCACAATTTCTGTTGTCATCCTGAAGCAAAGTTCTTAACCTGAAGCACTATTTCTGTGTTAGCGGAGTCTGTAAGCTGAAGTGTATGTAACCTGAGGTACCACTGTATATTCTAGTAACCTCGGGTTACATACGCTTCAGGTTACAGACTCTGCTAACCCAGAAATAGTACCTCGGGTTAAGAACTTTGCTTCAGGATGAGAACAGAAATTGTGCTCCGGCGACGCAGCGGCAGCAGGAGGCCCCATTAGCTAAAGTGGTGCTTCAGGTTAAGAACGGACCTCCAGAACGAATTCTTAACCCGAGGTACCACTGTATATTGTGGGGGTGGGGGGAAAGAACCACAAGCACCAGCCCAACGACCAGTGTGAGGGCTGGACTGAAGTGCAGCAGTAGTAATTTTACATTTATTTATAGCCCGCCTTTTCCCCTGACAGGAACTCCAGGCGGCTTACGTAAGAGCAGGCCGGGGCGGGCAGGGGAGGGGGACACGAGCGTCACGCGGCGGCTTCGTTCGCGGCTACTGCGCATGCGGGGTGTGTGACAGCGGTGGGGGCGAACGTTAGCGGCGGCGGCGGCGAACGCGTCCGTGTGTGGACGGGGTCGCCCGCAGGGGCAGGAGGCGGCGCGGAGTCTCGCGAGAAGGAGGAGGCGGAGGAGGAGGCGGCGGCGGCGAAGGCGATGGTCGGCGAGTTGTGGGGGGAAGGAAGGAAACGCCTCAGGTGAGGAGGGCGGGGCGGGCGGCATTGAGCCGGGCGAGGGGGCGTCGAGACCCCCTCGAAAGGGACAGGTGACTCCGGGGAGGGGGGGGAGGGCCGCGCGCGCCCCCGCCCTCCCCCTCAGAGCAACGGTCCGGCGCCCCCTCCCCCCGCCCGGTTCTCGGCCTCCCCCCCCGCTCCTTCTTGCCTCTCGTGACGCCACTCCGGACCCCTCCCCCCTTTCCCTCATCCCGGCCGGGGGGGGGCAGGAAGAGGAGCAGCGGCCACGACACCCATCATGATGATGAGGATGCTCCGCGGGATCCTCGCAGCGGCACCGGGGGGAAGGGGGGGTCTCTAGGTCACCGGGCGGGGGGGGGGGCAAGGCCCTTCCGAGCGCGCCCCCGCTTTGCCCGCTGCTTTTCTTATTCTTAGGAGGAGCAGTGAATTAGCTCAGTGCTCAGGTGGCTTCGGAGCACTTTACAAAACTGTTATTTTTTTTAATATAAATGGGGTATGTGTGTGTGTGGATATATATGTAACTATTGTATATTTAATAAATAATCACTATAATTGTAATGAATATTATGTATTATCCACTTGGGGCAATCATTATTATTTATAATAAATGTTATTTATTATTATAAATAATTATAGATATAAACACACACACACATATATGTATACAGTGGTACCTTGGGTTAAGTACTTAATTCGTTCCGGAGGTCTGTTTTTAACCTGAAACTGTTCTTAACCTGAAGCACCACTTTAGCTAATGGGGCCTCCCACTACCGCCGCACCGCCAGAGCACAATTTCTGTTCTCATCCTGAAGCAAAGTACTTAACCCGAGGTACTATTTCTGGGTTAGCAGAGTCTGTAATCTGAAACATCTGTAACCTGAAGTACCACTGTGTATACACACACACACACACACAATCACAATCACATAACATTATTAAAATGCAGAGTAATTAAAGATACACCACAATTAAAACACACCGGGAACGTACGCAGCAAAACGATCCACTTTGGGATTGTGCAACTGTTTGAACCGGAGAGAGTGGCCAAGAGGTCAAGTCAAGGCCTTTGTCAGACCCTGCAGGAAGGCAGTAAAGATGGGGCTTCTCCTGTTCCAGCACAGCAAGGGCATCTTGCCACCCTAGCCTGCTTCTGCTGCGCAAGCTTGTCATCCTCAGGCCAGGACGCAAGTCACAGGGATCTGGGTCCGTTGGTGCCCTTACTGGGCATTGCATTGAAAGTCAGCCTTTCAGGTAACCTGCTCCAGAGTAATTCAGTGCCTCCTGTGCAAGTAACAAGGCCTCGGAATGGACTCAATGGCTAATAATTTTGTTCTGTGAACCACCCTGAGACCTCCGGGTATAGGGCAGTATATAAATTCAATAAATGTTAATACAGTGGACGCTCGGGTTGCGAACATGATCCTTGCGGGATGCACGTTTGCAACCCGCAGCAGCACGTCTGCGATTTAGCACTTCTGCGCATGGGCGACCCCCGAAACCCAGAAGTAAGCTCTGCTTGCCACCCAATAGGTAAAGGTAAAAGATAAAGGACCCCTGGATGGTTAAGTCCAGTCAACGGCGACAGGTGCGGCACTCATCTCGCTTTTTAGGCTGAGGGAGTTGGCGTTTTTCCACAGACAGCTTTCCAGGTCATGTGGCCAGCATGACTAAACCGATTCTGATGCAATGGGACACTGACAAGTGCCAGAGCGCACGGAAACGACGTTTACATTCCCATCACAGCGGTACCTATTTACCTACTTGCACCAGTGTGCTTTCAAACTTCTAGGTTGGTAGGAGCTGGGACAGAGCAACAGGAGCTCACCGAGGCTCAGTGGTTTAGACCACAGCGCCACCCGTGTCTTTTTGCCACCCAAACGACTAAACAACAACAACAACAAAGAAGTCCATGTGCACCTTAGGTAGCCATAGCCATCCATATATTAAAAGAGTGGGAGATAATGGCTTGTCTGAAGCCACCTAAAAGGTAAAAAGTAAAGCCACCTAGTAAGTAGGTGGCAGAAAACATAACGTGCCCCTTCTCCTTACCACCTGCATAAAGTCATCTCATCTGCACAAGAGGAGGACCTTAATTTGTTTCCCCACATCCCTTTTTAGGAACCCCCCCATCTCCAAAGTTGCAGTTTGTTCCTGAAGGTGCCCCATGGCATCTTTGGGGCAAATAACAATGGGGGGGGGGGAGAGAGAAAATTGACAATTTCCCCCACAATCCCAGACTGTGCATGTCTTTGGTGAGGCCCTGAGGCTTTGGCAACAAGGAAAATAATTGTGCCTGCCTGGTCCAGCACGTGTCTACAGCACCAGGCCATTAAAAAATACAAAACTTTTTTTCAGTGGATGCTGGCATTTGCTCCACCATGCCAGGTGCTAGCTCAGTGCCTAAAGACAACTTCTACAAGCCACATTCTGCTTAGATTTTTGCTATATATTACTTGTTTATGCACTGTATAATGTTATGGTAGTAAAAAAAGAAAAAGGATTGAATTCAAACCATATGATGAAGCTATTATAAATTGAGCTAAACTGGGTTGACAAGAGTACTGTATAGAGTCAGTCAGCTTGGTGTCAGCTCTTTCAGCCTGTTGTGTACCTTATGCCTTTAAAAACTGAGGTGCCTTTATTGCTGAGATGAGTAGACGTAAAGAGGAATGGCGTTTCTGTATCTTGAAATACTTGTAGAATATAAAATCTCAGCAACTATGGTTGTTCCCCTGTACAGGCAATGACCAATTTATGCACATTCGATATGTGCACAACTGTGCATGCATGCAGAAGTTGGTGGAATGGGGGGGCATTATGGGCTTATGCATGCTCTGCCATCGCGCACAATGTCCTGGCACACAAACCCCACGTAAATTGGGGGTTGTCTGTATCAAAATTCACATCAATATATAGAATGCAAAAGGACAAGTAGGGTTTGCCAATAAATGTTGGTGCCTATTTGTTGAAAATACATAATTGCTCCTATTTCACTTAGTTTTCTGGTGGCCATCCTGATATTTGTAATCTCTCAGTGGTATAGGACTTACTTTTAAGTATAGAATTGCACTGTTCAACACACCATGAAAATATTAGTAAGGTTATAACTTACTGAGCCAGCTATTGCTAGTGAATTGTATGTATATATGCAATTCAAGTTATATTTAACTGTCTGTTGAGCCTGGTTGCACCCTTGGAAACTCTCTTAGTATAAGACCTCTGTCCCAATAGACATGAAGTAATAAAAAGACTAAAAGTAATAAAAAGGCTAAAAGGAACTGGGCAGAGTGTGTTTTTCTCATTGCCAGGTAACAACAGCCTCCCACACTCATTTGAAATGCAGGGGATGGGGAAGAGATTTCAAGGTGACAGAGTGCAGTTTCTAACCAGACTAGAGCCATCTAACCTGTTTTGAAAATTAAGCATTCTTTGCAGACTTCTGTGTAATCAGAAAACTCTTAATTTTAAAAATTGGCCTTACAAAAGATGGTAATTTACCTGACATGTGCACAGCAGTTGCAAACTGCTCATTTATTCCTGGTACCTCTTCTCCTCTGTCGGGTATTTTGCTAAATAGCTGTTGCCCACAATTTTCAGTCAGGTATATTGTCACCACTCAGTCTGGATAGTGGAACTGACTAGTGCTTGTGTGCCAAGTGGATCAGGCCTAAGTAACATCATTCATGAATCTTTCTTTGCTAAAATGAATGAAAGGATAGCAGATGAACAGAACACAACCTGTGGTCTTCCATTGCAAAGAAATATAAGGACAAATAACCAGCCTAAAAATGAAGGTCCAAAGGTTCCTTGTGAAGAAGTCCTGGAAAAGGGGGATAGAGTTTAGAGTGAAGGAATTACCCTATTTAGTTAACTAACCCTAATCCACACGCTAAGGAGGGGGGGAAATACTCACAAATAGGATCTTGGCCAGGGAGCCTTGGGAAAAAAAATAGTAAGATGGGAGAACGAAGTTCCGCCCTCGGGTGCTCCCTTTCAAAACCTCTGCTGTGCAATACCCTCAAAAATCGTTCTTTTTGTGGATTGGTTCTCTGGAATGACATTGAGAGTCAGCTTTGTTTATATACACATGGACTGATGAGGCACTGCCTCAGTCAGAAATCCAAATGGCTTGGCAGTTCTTCCCTGCCAAGATTCAGGTTTGAATTGTCTCAGTATTGTTCTCTGCACCTGCATGGGAACATCTTCCATTTGTATAGGCCCCAAATTTCTGCATGTTTAAGTAGTGAAAGTCTAGGTTGCTGGCATTGCTCACCTGCTTCTTAGCTCCCCACCCCCTGCCCCCTCGTAAGCAAAAACCCGTTTACACACAAACTCATGTAAGTGTTCTGCTCTGGTTGCTATGCAGTTGCTAAGGTTGAAGACCCAAGTTCCCCCACACTCTCTTTGCTGGCCACTGGTGAATGTTTCAGCCTGACCATACAGACTAGGAATTTCATAGCAGTAGCAATATTCAAACTAGGAACTTTGTGATTCTTAGTTACCACACTATACCAGTTCTTTACAGTGGTGCCTCGCAAGACGAAAAGAATCCGTTCCGCGAGTCTCTTCGTCTTGCGGTTTTTTTGTCTTGCGAAGTAAGCCCATTAGCGGATTAGCGCTATTAGCGGCTTAGCGGATCAGCTGATTAGCGGCTTAGTGGCTTAGCGGATCAGCTGTTAAGCGGCTTAGCGGCTTGGGAAAAAGGGGGGGGGAGGAAAAAAACCCTGGGGGAACTCGCAAGACATTTTCGTCTTGCAAAGCAAGCCCATAGGAAATTCGTTTTGCGAAGCACCTCCAAAACGGAAAACCCTTTCGTCTAGCGGGTTTTCCGTCTTGCGAGGCATTCGTCTTGCGGGGCACCACTGTATTTACTTCTTCATCAAAGTATTATAATCAGATTAGTTAGTGCATTGAAGCTCTGTTCATACATCTAAAATTTAAGTGCCATCTAGCGCCTTTTATAGTTTAATAATTACAGTTGCATTATGAATGAATGTGTTTATAGAAGGCATTAACAATACAAAAAAGCGTATTTGTTTTGTCCTCCAGAAGCCAACTCCAAATCCCACCCCAAATTTTGATTTGGTTCAAGTTTCTGGCAGGGGAGCACATTTTTTTGGCTTGCAGTTATACTATTCATGTTACTCATATTCAGTTAGGAAGTAAACACAACCAGCTGGGGAATGGCAGTGCTAGACTGGTCAGATATTATTTTGTTTGGCACTGAATTATTGCAATTTTATTACTCATAGCCAATGCATTGGGAGGAATAAAACCTGGTAAAATCTCCAGTTGCAAGTGGAGGTGTTTCCATGTTCTAAAGGTACAGTATTTAGCTTACCTTAGAAACCCAGATTTTTCATAGTTACACTTTCTTTCTTACTGCATTTGAAATGGGGAGCTTTCCTCTCCTAGACAAAAATGAGGGTTTGAGTTGTTGCTGCTAACAAATCGTACCCTTTTAAGTATTTTCTTGCTAAGCTGTTAGTTTCTCTAAGCATATTCTCTCTGAGTTTCTTTGAGTAATATGGACTCTGTCTCCTGAGGTTTCTAAAAACAGCTTTCAGCTATTGCAAAATAAAGCAAGGGATTCTCTGCATCTGGTACAAAAAAAGTATATGATCCGAGAGATGTGTTCCTGTGTTATCTGCAACACCAGAACCTCTCTCTCCTGTAGTGAGTCTCTCCCATAGTGAGGATCATATCCCTAATCAAATAAGCCTGACTATTTGCTAATGGTAAAGCTGTCTGGCTAGTATGCCGTTTTTATTCATTTAATTTTCTGCTATTCACAACCCTTCATTGTTTTTAGCAAAATGATTATTAAAAAATGTAAACAACAGTTGATTTCGTAAAGTTATCCTATTGCTATCTCCTTTTGTTTTTCTTTAGAAGTTGTTGGATTCATCATTAGAAACAAAAAGTAAGCAATGGATGGCCATATCAGGATCCGAAGCAGTCATAGGATGTCAAGGGTACCAGTGAGAAAGGTGAAGTCTTGTTCTTTTGGCTATCCTGTTGTTGAATAAATCTATCTTGTACTGTCTTGTAGCCATGATAAAGGTTTGACATAATATTTCAGATTATGTTACATTCTTGGCTTTTCAAATATCCATTCGTCTGCAACTAGACCTAACAGTCAGGAGTACCTTTACCTTTACCTTTAGACTGAATTGAGTGTATGTACACATCTAGTTACCTGGCGTAAAACCTGAATCTTAAAAGGCTAGAAAAATATGTGGTGTGTTTTCATTTCCTGTTTTCTTTTTCCAGAGCTTTGGTGAATGTTCAATGCCTCCCATGAAGGCATTGTTGCAAAGTGAAAAAGAATTATGCACAGTATCAGCAGAAGAGTTGAAGGCGGAGAAAGACAATTTCAATGAGGTTCGGCTTTGTTTTTACACATCAGGTTTTTTAAAAATAAATTTGACAAATGCTTTTCACTTACATCCATGCTAGCAAATATTGATTTTATGCTCATTATAAAGACATCATAAATGAGTGCTGCTTGAGTATACTACTAGCAGTGGAGGCTTGTGCTATGTTTTGTATAATTAACTAGCAACCTTGTAACTGATGTTGCTTGGGAATTCTAAGAAGCAAAAAATCAGTGTAGTTTTGAAAGGTGTGGCCTGCTATCTTGATTCAAAATGGTATCCATATAGAATTGTAGAGATGTGCAACTAACCTCTGCTTAAAAATCTCAAATGAAGGAGAGTGTACCACCATATGAGATAATCCATTCCAACGTCAGATGGCTCTTACTATCAGAAAGTTCTTCCTAATACTTATTCAGAATCTTCTTTCTTGTAACTTGAATCCATTGGTTTGTATCCTACTCTCTGGAGCAGGAGAAAAGAAGATTGATCCATCGCCCATGTAATAACCCATTGCTATATGAAGACGCCTATCATATCTCCACTCAGTCTCCTCTTTTCCAGGTTAAACATACCCAAGCCCCTGAACTACTCCTTATAATGCTTGGTTTCCAGACCTTTGATCATTTTGGTTGGCCTGCTCTGCACATGTTCCAGCTTGTCAATACCCTTCTTAAATTGTGGTGCCCAGAACTGGACAGAGGACTCCAGGTGTGATCTGACCAAGGCAGAATAGGGTGGTACCATTAATTCCCTTTATCAGGACACTATACTTCTGTTGATGCAGCTTAGCATAGCATTTTGTAGATCTTATATTCTTGGCGGACCACATGGAGGAATTTAGTAGACCTTACATATTTGGCAATGTTTGAGTTCCAACAGATATTCAACAGATATCATTCTGAGTGTTTGGTAATCTGCTGTAGTAAGGGAGCATCCAAGTCTTCAGTCTAGCTTTGAGGAGTGTAGCAGACACCCAAAGTAAGGTCACTGTTGTTTCCCTCTCTTACAATTTTTACCCAAATATTCTCAATCTGCCTTCCATGCAGGTGTACACATCATTCTTATATAATGATATTCCTTCTCCTTCTCCCTTCCTGCTTGGTCTATTCTTTTTGAGCAGGTTTCTACATCCTAGTCATGAGTCTCATCCCACCAGGTTTCAGTAAAACCTATTAGGTAATATTTGCTATCCTGTAGTAAGAACTCAAATTCGTCTTGCTTGTTTCCCATGCTGTATGCATCAGTATAGAGAAAACTGAAACCATGAGTCATTCCATCCAGCAGCTTCTTTCTTGTTTTTTTCTTCCCATTAGTAGGTTCCTGTAGCACCATTCCTGTGAAGTCCCCAGTACCAGGTTTCCCCCTGTTGTCTGTAATATTGTCTCCCTTCCCCTCAGGATTTAGTTGAAAGCTCTCAAGATCAGGTTCACAAGACTCTTAGAAAACACATTGTTGCCAGTCACTGTCTTAATAATAATAATGCCCTGTGAGGTGCAATAGCAGAAACCATGGTCCGAGAAGCCATATCTTTCCCAACAACAACACCAGCACAGCCAGTTTTTTCTTTCTAGTATTTTCCTCTCTCCTCCTGGGTCACGACCTTCAACAGGAAGGAGTGATGAAAAAACCGCCTGTACTCCTAGGCCCTTCACCTTCCTGCCCAGAGCCTCGTGGTCCCTTGCTGCATGTTGAAGGCTGTGTCTGTCAGTATCATTTGTACCCACATGAATCAGAAGGAAAGGGTAAAAGTCAGCAGGCTTTATAAGACTTGGCAACTTGTCTGTCATATCTTGAATCTTTTTATCTGGAAGACAGCACACCTCCCAGGATATCCTGTTTCCTCTACACACTGCTGCCTCTGTCCCCCTCAGTAAGGAGTCACTTTCCACCACCACTTGTTTCTTCCTCCTCTGGGAAGTGGCAGGAATAGTGCTGAACATAGATGAAAACCTGCTCCTTGATAACCAGGATATGATACAAATGCATTGTGAGCAAACAAATAACCTTCCATTATATTGTTGTGGGAAAAGTTTTGCATAAGTGAATCTTCAAAAACTTATTCTAAAAATAAAACCAAATAATAAATTGGAGTACAGAACAATTTTCCGATTTTTAAAAATACTTACTGAACAATTGAGTGTAATCAAACAATTGCTCAGTCTCTTGGTCTGCGTTTACTCTGCTGAATTGCCTAGGTAATGGTAAGATTCCTGGCTGTAGCACAACAGTATCTCTTGGAGCTTCTTTGCCCGCTGTTTTCCTTGTAATTTTTTGTAGGTGACATACAAGGGTGTGTGTCGGGGGTATGCATACCCCTTCAGAATCTCAGATGCACCACATTTGGTCATTATGTGACCCATGTACACCTCACAGAAAGATACTGGGCAGCCCACTTCTATCCAGTGCCTCATTGCATATTAATAACAGAAATAGTATGCACTTTGGGTATATGGATAAGTAATAAAGTACACCCACCCATCTCCTCCTGATAAAATGTGTCTTAGAGGAAATCCTTATACTATATCTGTATAGTTCTACATCTATATAGTGTAGAATTGAAAGCTTTGATATAATTCTATTTGCTTATATAACATATATGTATTTCTATTACAGGTCACATTTCTGTGCTTTGCTGATGAGACAGCTGTTGCTCCTAAGGTATGGTGTGTGCATAAGATATCTTAGTTGACTGGCAGAGCAAACTGGGAAAGCATCATGATATATGCCCACTGGTGATACTCCAGCACAATAACCTCTGCATCCAAACCTTGTTTGGAGGTGATTGGGAGGTGCTGTGGTCTAAACCACAGAGCCTAGGGCTTGCCAGTCAGAAGGCCAGCGGTTTGAATCCCTGCGATGGGGTGAGCTCCCATTGCTCGGTCCCTGCTCCTGCCAACCTAGCAGTTCGAAAGCACGTCAAAGTGCAAGTAGATCAATAGGTACCGCTCCGGCGGGAAGGTAAACGGTGTTTCCGTGTGCTGCTCTGGTTCGCCAGAAGCGGCTTAGTCATGCTGGCCACATGACCTGGAAGCTGTACGCCAGCTCCCTTGGCCAGTAAAGCAAGATGAGCGCCACAACCCCAGAGTCGTCCGCGACAGGACCTAACGGTCAGGGGTCCCTTACCTTTAAGGCCCTCTAAAGGAGGCTAAGCCTAGCAGAGGTAGCAAGCAGGCATCATGCAGCACCATTGATGTCACCCAAACAGCAAACACGACCCACAAGGCATGCTCGATATGCACACCCTACATATGGCCAATCTCAGGCGCACACTGTAAACAAACATGTCAGCATCCCCCCGGTGAGACACAATTGAAGCCCCCACAAGCACCCTAAGCGCTCCCAGATGCCACCCACTCTTCATGAATATGAATGAAACGACCACACATAAAAAGACGCTGAAGGAAGGTTTGTTGCAAGCATGGAAGGCGATACAAAGCTCAAACGGTACATCCTGCGAACAGTCCCATTGGGTGCAGCAGTGGAGGAGACAGCTAGCATGGACAGCTGGCGGTTTGCTCTTTCACCACCACCTCTCCCACTTCCTGGCACTGTCTCTGGGGGCAGGGAAGCCCCCATGAATGGCAGCAGGTGGGGGCTGGCTGAGAGCAGACTTGGGTTGGTGGAGTAGCGCACCGTTTGTTCCAATCAATCACTCTCCTCTGCTGCTGTGTAAAAGACAAAATAGTAGTAGTAAGTGGTATTACTGTAAGTTAACATTTTTTAATGCTGTATGATCCTTAATTTGGGGAAACCCAGCCAGATGGGTGGGGTATAAATAATAAATTATAATTATAATTATAATTATAATCTCCTTCAGTCTTTAGTATTCCCATGATAGAAATACAGCAGTTCTCTATTTTCCAGGGGGAAACTTAATTTGAAATGGTGACTGTACAAAATTCCTAGGGATGAAAAGGGCATTTAGTTTAGTCTACTTCTGTGCTATAGGAGCACTCAGACATGCCTCAGCATGCCAGAAGTGTAAGTAAGTGTAAAAGTATAAACAGCCTTTGCCTTTAAAGCCCTGAAAGGTCTGGCATCAGAGCATCTCATGAACTGGTTTCGCTTATATGAAATGGTTTGGAAATTTCACTCAGCTTCTGAGGCTCCTCTTGCAGTCCCTCTTACAGGCAGCGTTTGGGTTGGAGTGAACAAGAGCCTTTTCAGTTGTGGCACCCAGATTAAGATGTGTTTCCCATTTTTAAGAAGGTACTTTGGTTGCTTTTGTTTTAGTTGGCATTGTTTAGTTATGACCTTTAAGGATTCATTGTTTTATTGTTTCTGTCTGCTTTGTATTGATTCAGTTGTCTGTGCTTTTCTATTTTTAAATGCCTTTCATTGTTGTTTTATTGTCAGCTGCCTTGTGTGTGCATTATGGAAAAAGGCAGAGTATACATTTTATTGTAAAATAATTGGAATTGCTTGTAAATAAAAAAGGATTCCAGCACTGTGGAACTATGTCCGGGTGAAAGAATGCTCGGCTGAGTTTGCCACAAGTCCTCTGACATTAAAGGAAAGTTTTCCTAGCACGAGTGTATTATTCTCTGTGTTTGGTTTAGGAATTGGCAGCCATGTCTGTTGAGCTCCCAGATCTTCTGAAATCCCTCCATTTGTGCACTTTACATGAAAATGATGTCATTTTTCTAAAGGATATTCATAAACCATTGGAGACCAGTGTTCTTAAGCAGAAGGTAAGAGAGATTTAAAATACATAAATGTATGATTAGTGGTATACTTCATTTAATTTACCTTTCAAATTAATTGTATTAATATGACACAGCATTCTGAATATAAAATATGAAACGTGTGTGCGTATTACTCAGTTCTACAAATTGTCAAAGGCTGGGAGTGTTGCTAAAAAAGTTAAAAGTCAATATTTTGATAATGGAAACTTGTCAATTGTTTTTTTCCTCATTATACTCAGGGAATATGCTTTTCATTTTTTGAAATTATTAGCAGAAACTTCACTTTATTTTCTTAACTGATGTCACTGCAGTTTAGAAAAGAAGGAATAATCTTTGAATGGGTAAAATTACATTTTCTCTCTCTCTTTCTCAAGAATTACCCCTCACGGATTCTGTGTGTGATGAAATTGTCTCCATCATTTGCAAGACACGAAGTGGATTCTTTGTTTACTTTACTGAGTAAATATGCTGCTGGTATAAGATGTACTGTGGAAATACGCTCATTGCAGAAGCACCTGTCCATCATACCCCATGCTGAGGATGATGATACTAATCAGTCAGTGTCATCAATTGAGGATGATTTCGTTACTGCGTTAGAACATTTAGATGAAGATGAGCCCACAAAAATGATAAACTCTGGTTAGTGTTCCTGCAATATTCTGATAGTGTTAAATAAGTTGGGATTTAAAGGGATTGAGTACCATGATTAGCTTTTTAAAAGTGAAATACTTGTATATACAGTAGTCTATTGATTTCTGTATCTTTTATATATATATTTAAAAAACCTGTCAAGCAATACCAGCCCCTGTGATGAACTCTGATTTTTTTGGAATGACCCATCTAATAAACAATAATTGACTATGCTTGCTCAAATTTGGTAAATCTTGGATAATCTCTGGCCTATTTTTTTGAAGCAACAGTTTGTGATTGCATAAATATGAGATGTTGAAGTAGAATCCAAGCTGTCAATCTAAATTATCTGTCTTACCCTTTTCTACTAAAGGAGATATATAAGTTGTTGATACTTTAAGATTTTATTAGCTTCTTAAGTAAAGATGGGCAGGTTCTTTCCATCTCACCACAGAGTTGATCCAAGCTCTTTTTCAACAAAAATGGAAGAACGTTACATTTTCTGAGACGGACAGAGGACTGTCCCCAAAACAGCCTCCTCTTCAGTGCTCCTCTCCTCCAAATATCATTTTGCCTTTCTCTTACCTGGCCAGCAGAAGGGAGGAGAGAAGTCTATGTCGTCCCTCTTGCCCAGTTGTTCTGATACATCCTGCTGAGCCAAACCATGGCTTGGCATGAACATATAGACTATAGGAGAGGAGTCTGTAGCCACTTTCCTCCACCATGGTCTTTCTGCTGCGCCATGTTGAATGAAGCCATAGTTTGGCTAGGTATGACATCTGAACCTGGGCTCCTGGTTTATCTCTTTCCAGACTAACCACGAGCTGTAAACAAAGGTTTTCCTATGGTTTGTGGCTCATTGTTTGTCTGGAAGAGCTAAACCACAAGCCCAGGTCTGCCAAATCATGGCTTAGTTCAGCATAATGAAGCAGCGAAACAACCAGTGAGAAACAATGTAGCTATGAGCTCCTCTCCCAATGCCCAGCACTCATTCATGTTAAACCATGGTTTGGCTTAGCATGATATGTGAACTGGGCCACTGTGTAAACTGTGCACCAGGTAGACAGAGGAAATGGGAGCAGGGCAGACCTCCCTGTGCAACACAGGTGTCTCCGGTACTGGCACCATTGGCCAGGTAAATAAAGGGAAGTGGGGATCGGGTCATTTTGGACATGGGAAATGCTGGTCAAGAATAAAAACAGGAATTCTTATGTGGCCAAGATTTATGCTTGCTTCATACTCAAGGTGGGCTTATCCAAGCCTTCAGAGTTCTTTGAGCCCAACTTGGGAGAATTTCACTGACAATTCTACTTCTTATCCTGTTCATATTTACTTGGGAATAAACCCTGTTGAACGAAATAAGTCTTACTTTTGAGTAAACATGAATAGGATTGGGCTGCCCAATCTTTGATCAGACCAAAATTCAAGTACATTTTATGCTATTAACCTATTTCTGCTACAGCTGCAATCTTTTGCTTTCAGATGTACTGTATGTTAACTGTTCCTTTCCCTCCCTGTTGGCACAGGCCAAGTTACACCTGAGAAACTTCAAGATGCTGGTTTGCAGACCATCTCTGTTCAACGTTTGGAATCTCTCGATCCAAAGTTTCATTTTCTACATCGGAAGCCATCTGTCAAGTCATCAACATCTCTAGTTAACATCTTGGAATTAAAAGAATTGTCATCTTCTGTAAGAAATTCTGTCACAACTTCTGTTTCGGATCCTTGGCTGCAGAGGAGTTTCTTCAGGCCACAGAATTCTTCTGATCAGAATGTTAACACTTTATGCAAAACACTGTTTTCTTCCTCTCCTGCTGAATCATCAGAGTCAGATTGTTCTAGCCCAAGCCCTATTATTTTCTTAGATGAAGAAGGGTATCAGAGAAGCCTAAAGGCAAAACTTCAGCTACCAAAAATCCCATTAATGAAAGATGGCATAGAGGATTCAGACTCTGAAGTAAGTGAATTTTTCGATAGCTTCGACCAATTTGATGAACAAGAACAAACACTGGAGAGTGGTTGTAAACATGCTAGGGGTCCTGTCCTTCAACATCCATCTCATATGAAAACGATTTCACATAAAAGGCCACGCTCTGCAACCACTGCAATGAATCCTCAAAGGTTCAAGGTTGATCATCCCACTCTTCCAGCCAATGTGAGGAAGCCAACTCCTCGCAAACCAGAATCTCCATATAGCAACCTCTTGGATGTTCCTGATTCCCCCCGGCCATTGAAAACATCAGGGGATGACAGTGGAGGCTTGTTCAGCCCTATCAGATCTTCAGCTTTCAGTCCATTAGGCAGTTGTCTTTCAACAGAGTGTCCTTGTCAGTTGGGTGTCAGTAGAGGTGCCATTAACCAAAAGCACAATCTGGTTTGTCACCCATACTCAGATTTTGCAAATAATATTTCCTTTGAAATCTTAGGTTCGGTCTTTAATTCCAGATCTCCATCATCATGTAGATGCACACAGGAATTTTCTAACAGTAATAGGATTGTCTCAAAAGAAGAAACAGCCCAGTCAGCAAAAACCCAAGGGGAAACTTCTGGAAAAGAATTAGATAACAGACAAAAATCTAAATGCAAATCACTAATGATTAAAGACCACATCCAGAAATTTGCATCAGAGCTCGTTGAGAAGAGTTTTGGCAGTGCTTTTAAAGATCTTCAGAAAGGTGTTTCTTCATGTACTAATGCACTCTGTCACTTGGCTGCAAAACTGACTTCTTCAATCTTTCAAATGGCTTTTTATGAGATTGGGAGGCAGCAAGCTTTTTCACTGAAGAAGAAAGCTATTAATGGACTAGCAGGCTTTTTGGTGAGTGAAGCGTTAACAGGTGCTTTAAAAGAGCTACATTCTGTAAAGCAACAAATATTTACCAACACAGTTGCAAAATTTGCAGCAAACCTGGCTGAGGAACTAATTTTTGAGGGGATCATGGAAGTGTGCCAGTTTTCACACCCATCAACTCCTACAACTTTTCAGAACTGGTCCTTCCATTATGATGATAAAGTTATACAATCATATTCCAAAGACTTGTCTGAGTCGGTTATTCAGGAAGCTTTTATTGAGTTATCACAGGTTGAGGTGGCATTTACAACACAAGCAGCAATTAGTATTTCCACGGACAATATAAAGTACATAGGTGCAGAAAGTAGTTTGGAGTCAACACAGGCCTCCAATGCTTCCTCTGAGTTTCATGATCAAGAACCAGTAGCCTTGAATTCAATACAGGAATTCAGGGAGGAATATACTGTCCATAAAGCTTTGTTCTGTACGTCTGGCATTGCAAGTTCAATCCCGGTGCCCTTAGCTGGAAGCATACTTTGTCAAAATCAGATTTTATTTAATGACATACAGGTAAGGAAACATTCAGCGTCAACAGGCAGTCTGAAATTTTATAAAAAATCAGCAGAGCGGTGTTGTACAACACAGAAAAGAAAAGATGAAGTGACATCAGTTAGAAATGTTTACTTGATGACAGATAGTCAGAACAGTGAATATAATGCACATATTGTATGTACACAAAGTGACTTTAAGCAAGCAAATAGCCCTGAAGTCAGTAAATTTTCAGACTTAACAACTAGGATGCCAAGCGTCAGTAATTTTTCTGGAACAATGGTAGATATGATCGTAACGGAGGCATATGAAGCAGTAACCTCTTCCAAGACATCCAAAAATGCAGAGCAATACACAGAAATACTAAAACTGGATAAAACGTCATATTTGCCATGCATTGGTGAAGATGCCTGTGAGAATATGTTTGCAAATTATTTAGCCAAGCGAATAGTGAAACAGTCTGTAGATGAAACTAAATCTGCCTGTTCTGTTACCGGTGAGAAATTAGCATACTGTGTGGGATTGGGAACCAGTAAAAAAAGCAATAGGAAAGAATTGCATAGTGCAATAAAACCATCAGAAACAAACAAAAGTATTCCAGTAATTGTAGGGCAGCAGCAGATGCCCTTGAACAGCTCATCTAAATTTCATGTATCGCCAGTTTACTCTAATAGGTGTCTGCTTTCAGGGTCTAAAGATGGCATTCAGGGGGAAAAGAGACATATGAGTTGCAGGACTTCCACATCCATGTCATCTCCTTGTTCTGCAGTGACTTTTGTGAAACCTGCTGAAGAGTTTCCAGATGCAGAAAGCTGTTCAGCAAAATCCTTAAGCAACCCACTGGGAAAACACAACACATACAAATCAGCCGGGCACTCTGCACTTTGCTCTACATTTGGTCCCGAAAGAACTTTCCCTAGCATTAATGCCTTCACTTCTGTGGCAACTAACGGTGAAGATGCATTTCAGATGGAAGACAAATTGAGTATCAGAGCTGAAACTCCTTGTGTCCTACCAGACACACCTCCACCAACACCTTTAATAGCAACCCAAATGAGTTCAGAGTGGAATTTAAGAAAGCTATCAAAGAAACTGAAAGGTGAACTAGCAAAGGATTTTGCACCCGCGACGCCCCCTTCTACCCCTTACCGATCAGAAACCGGTGGAGTATATGAAAATGAACGCCATGACTTAGAAAAGGAAGAGTTCATGTTGAAACTGATGCGGTCTCTCTCTGAGGAAGTTGAAAGCAGCGAAGATGAAGAGCATTGGCCTGTAGCATTGGACGAGAGAACGAAAGCATCAGGAAGGACAACAGAATATGCCGATCATCTAGCCACTCGCATAATTGCTGTGGCAACCGAAATGGCTGCTTCACATTTAGATTATAAAGCGGTTCAAATGGAGAATAATAAATGCTTTCCAATAAGTGCGGAAAATAAAAAATGTGGGCATAGTGGATTTGTGAATGTTTCAGATGCCAGCCGACATTCGTTGTTGGTTTATGCTGGTAATATGGCTGGAAAGGTCATTAGTGAAGCTAAGAAAGTAGTTGAATCCAAACAATGCACTCTTCTAAGGCTGAAGCAAGTGAACTGCGGGGCAGATGGCGTTCGTCCTAAAAGAAACACTCATAAATGCTGGGCCAAAGACATGAGGTGTCCCTGGGCAGACCAGGGGTCTCGAGAGACAGACTCTTCTATACTCTCTCTACCCCAGCACCCAGAAGCTCCAGGTCTGACTTCCAAATATCCAAGTTGTGAGAGTGTCACTGATGAATATGCAGACCACATCATTCGTATTCTGAAAAGAGAAGGTGGCCACAGTGAACTGATAATGGATCAGTTTGCCAGTAGACTTGCTTACAGATCTATAAAATCTGGAATGCAGGAAGCTGCTGGGAAACTCAGGATGAAGTATAAAAGTAAAATAGCTCCCTCCGAGGGCTCAAAGGTAAACAGTAAGGCTGATCCGGGTGTGGATGGAAAGAAACAGAAAAAAGGGAACATTTGTCATTTGGGGCAGCGAGCCTGTGGAAACAAATGTAGCACACACAGAACTGAATGTACAAAGTTGCTAGATTTTTCAGAATCCCTTGCTTGTAGCGTAACATCTGATGTCAGAAGGAAAATAATGAGGGGAGCTTGTCTGTCAAAATCTTTAACTGATTCCTGTTTGTATAAAAAATCTAAGAACGATCAAGTCACTGATCTTAAAGCAACATTTTCTAAAGCACTTTCTCCTTTCTGTTGCAAACAAAAGCTTTATCATAGTACAGGCAGTTTAAATGAACCTACCTACAGAAATGGCATTATTCATGCCATTGAACAGTATGCTAGGAAGGTAGTAGATGACACTTTAGAAGCTAGCTTGGAATCTGCTACGCTGCAAACTACTGGAAACTGGACAAATGGAGATAGAACAACATATGCAGAAAAGTTGTCTCCATTTTCTGCAACAGCCTGCAGATACTGTAGTATGAATGAGCATCAATACTGTGCTGGAAGTTCATCTTTGCAGCTGACTCGGCAAGAACTCCACTCTCAAGTTCATCAGGTTCCCAGAAAAAGTGGAATCTGTCCTAAATCTCGCATTCTTCACCTGGATATCCCAAAAATTCATATTAATATGGATGAGAAGGTAGTATTTGCTGAAAATGTGGTTGCTACAGTTTTTGACAAAGCACAAAGGCAGCTTAGCAACGCAAGTTTGACAGCGGATAGTGGAATTGGCCAGGATGGAGTCAGCTTTGCTGAAAGCCTCACTACAGAAATAATGACTTCCTGTATGACAAACATTAGTCCACCTGCCAACATAAGGTAAAGTTCAATTATTTTATATTGCTTTTAATATATGTAAGGTGCTGAAAACTGTATGCATTTTTCAGTATTAGTACAATTTTAATTTATGCAAGAAAGTCATAAGAACTTAGCTTTCCGTTTTGTGATAAAGCTTAAAAACAAAGGCATTGCCATGGAAAGTAATTGTTTACTGTGTTCATGAAGGGTGCTAGGATTTAAGTAAATTTAAAATGCAGAGTATAAGCTTAAGAGTATTTGTCGTCTTTCAGGTTTGGCCAACTTTTTGTTTCTCGTTTTTTGCTCTAACATACATGTAGAAGCCATTGTGAAGCATAAATGGTAGAAGATAAACATCACTGACTTCTGCTAAGACAGATCCAGGTTTGGATAATTTTTTAGGTGGCAGCAGAGAGATACATGAAGCATCAAATTAAAGCACGGAACATGTAGTTATGTAGAAAATAGTATTGCTGAGCTACTCATAAACCCTAATAAATTTGATCAAAGAAAATCCTGAGGTAAACAGAAGCTGATTTTGAAACTTCCGTAAGTGTTGGCTGTGATGGTTGAAATAATCCTTCCCTGGTTATGTGAATACTGTTGAAGCTGTTTCCCTTATCTTACTTCCAAATTCATCATTAAAATAGAAAGCACAGTTAGGTATATGTTGTTGGTTTGTCCAACAGCTTAGGAACTTCAGTAGAATCCACTTTTGTCCCTTAATTGTTGTATGTTTCCTGCGATTCCCATGGTAGAAGAAATATTTTCTTAGAAGAAAAGTCCATGTGTCCAGTGCTCTGCATGTGCATGTGTTGCTTTATAGCTGCAATCTACTGATTAAAGAAAAAGCATCTCATTTTACACAAGGCGAAAACATTACTCTTCTCCCAGGCTTTTGGCTAATTAAACAATGGAGGGCGGGTATTATTTTTGTTTGTTACTATGTTATGAGATCTAGAGAGAGAAGAGTGTGTAAACTGCCCTGTGATCCTTGGATAAAGGACAATATAGAAATTTAATTACTGTATTTACTCGAGTCTAACGTGCCATCAAATCTAACGCGCGCCTAGATTTTCAGAACCTTGAAACCAAAAAATGTATTTGATGGCGAATGTAGATGTGCCATCGAAACTAATGTGCACTTTAATTTTCACAACGTAATTTGGCCAAAAAAGGTGAGGATTAGATTCGAGTAAATACGGTAATTAATTAATTAATTAATTACTAATTTCTGTCTGACCACAGTAGTCAAAAGGAAGTGAGGTTGATCACTTGCAAGGTCAGTTAGCACCACAGAAACTATGTTAAATGCCTAATGAAGATAGAAGTCTTTAAAGAAATAACAGTATGAAAGATGACATTAAAATGTGACCGAACTTACTAGTAAATTAGCTGGAATCCCTATTCTAGGCATAGTTCCTTATTATACAGTTTAGTACCTCATTATTATTTTTTAAATGACCCACCGTGATATGAAACCAGTCTCATTCTTTTTGAAAAATATACAGTCTCGATAAATTTAGGTGATTCACTTGGTAGAAATGATTCTGGAGGTTTAGCAAAATGTTTTATTTTATTTTTTTCAAATGAAGGCATCTTTGATCTTGTTGAAATAGTTTGTGTGTGTGTTTCTGTATGTATTCTTTATTTGATTTGTGCACCACTGTATTACCACATGTGATCCCAGGGTGGTTTATAAACATAGCTACTTATACATTAAAACTATAAAAACACAGTATAAGAAATTTAAACCAGATTAAAATAAAATAGGCATATCACAGGCAGGAATTTCTCAGTTGCAGGTGGCCAAAACCCAATCAGCCACCCCCCAAAAATATACAAATATACAAATTCAGCTGGTGCCAAATACCATAACAAGGTACCTCTGAGGCCGTGGTGGGGAACAGGATCGCAACCTCCTTCTGTCCCTGTAATTGGTGAGTAGGGTTGCCCACCTATCTCATTTTCATGACATCAGGTGAAATAATCCTTTTGCAGACCAGCTTCAATTCAAGTCAATCTGCAAAGGAACAACATTTATTTACCTGTGCAGTTCAATTTCATTTTTTAAAAATCATTTTTATTAAGAATTTTCAACATAAAAGACAATAAAAGCCAAACTAATCTAAAGAAGGTAAATAGGAAAGAAGCCAGAAAGCAGTCATACCTCTGGTTGAAGTAGCTTCAGGATGAATATTTTCGGGTTGCGCTCCACGGCGACCCAGAAGTAATGGAGCGTGTTACTTCCTGGTTTCGCCACTTGCACAGACGCTCAAAATGACGTCGTGCGGAAGCGGCGACACGCGCAGTCGCGTGTTACATTCGCTTCAGGATGCGAACGGGGCTCCGGAACGGATCCCGTTCGCATCCAGAGCTACCACTGTATGCAAAAGAAGAGAATAAATAAAGAGAAGAGAAAGAAGAGAGAATAAATACCAGACCTTCTATCACAATTATATCTTAATCCTTATTCCACACACAGAAAAGTCAATCCTCCCCACTCTCGCCTGGGAGCTTCCCCTTCTTCCCCCAGGCTCCCACCCTCAGAGATCCTGCCTTCCGTCGCCTTAGTGTGTATCTTCATTAATCCACGATAGGAAACTTCAATAAACGAAGCATAAATATAGATAAAATTGATAGAGAGAAAACAAAAATCAAAGATCATGGAAAAGGAAGAGGAAAAAAGAAAAAAAGGATCTTTCGATTCTCTGTCTGCCAATTATGTATATGACAATTGTTAAGGTATTCAGAGTATGCTTTCCAAGTAATCTCTAGCTGTTTTACTGTTCAGCTTTATCTCAGTCTGCTAGGTGTTGTTTTCTCAGTCTTCACTCCCAGGCACCTCAGGTCCACCTTATTTCACTCAAAAAGTCCAAAAGTAACTCTTCAATTATATAATTATAATTGTCGTTAAGTGTCCAGAATAGCCCTTCTCCAGTCCAGTATGATAGATTTCTCCCCATGGGTTCTGACACATTTTTATAGTGTAGTAGTCCATGCTTATTTGCTTGTTATGTCTTCATTCATTCGTACTCAGTTCTCTATATTCCAGTCCCATTTCCTGCTGTCCAAGCTTCATCCTGGTTTAAAGAAAAAAGAAAAAGCCTCCACACACACACTTCAATTCTGGCAAAAGAAATGCAAGTAGGCTATGAGAGATGCTTAAAAACAATTTGAGGAGCATGTTGCTGAAACATAAAGGTCAACAGCAAAAGGTTATTTAAATACATTTCTAGCAGAAGACCAGCTGGGTAGGCGATTGGATCTTAGGATGACAGGAGTACCTTGGGTGTGCTAACAGAGGATAAGGAGTTTGCAGAGAAGACAAATGAATTGTTTGCCTCTGTCTTCACAGTGGAAGATATGATGTAGATCCCTGTGCCTGAACTGACTTCCATAGGTGGAGAGTCTGAAGAACTGATGCAAACAGTGGTGACAAAAAAGTTACAGACTTTATAGACAAAATAGAAATGACAAATTGATGAATCCAGATAGCATCCACCCAAGAGTTCTTCAATAACCCAAATGGGAAATTGCTGATTGTCTAAGAAAAATACGTAACTTCTTCCTAAGACCAATACCTGAAGACTGGGACGTAACACATTATTTTATTTTTAAAGGGGGGATTCAGGGGATATCCTGGAAATTACAGGCCAGTTAGCTTAACATCTGTTCCAGGAAAAGTAGTGGAAAGCATCTCCAAAGATAAAAATATGAAGCATATAGGAGAAACGTGCTATGAGAGGTCTTTTGAGAGTGTCAACAAAGCATACAGATAGAGATGATTTTACTGATGTTATGTACCTTTTGACAAAGTATGCCATATAAGCAGTCACAGAGTAAGATCAGGAACCCATTAGTTATTGCTATGATTATTTTATTTATTTTTGGGTTTATATACTGCTTTTCTGCCAAGGCACCCAAGACGGTTTGCAATTTAAACACTTAAGCAATAAGAATATATAATCCAAAGACAGACAGTCTTCTCATGCCAACAGTTAGTTGGTGGTATGTGTGGTTCCTGAGCTGGGCTCCATTGTGTCAGGACATGGAGGTCTTCAGCATCCTCCAGGGAAGGTGTGGGCAGGCAGGCATGGGAGAGAGCTGCCACTACAGTTCTCTTGGTTCATTGGAGCTGATGTCATTTGCGCTCCCTGACCTGGACTCATCATCAGACCAAAGGCCCATCTAGTCCAGCATCTTGTTCCCACAGTGAGCTACTAGATGCCTCTGGGAAGCCCACAGCACTCTTGCACTCACATTCCTCAACATGATACCTTTGTTCCTGTCATTCTGTGATGGCCTGGGACTCGGGCTTGGACTCGGAACCAGAGGAGACTCAGTCTGCACTGGATCCTTTGCCTCAGGCATCACCTGAACCAAGTCTGGGGCCTGATCCTGAAGAGTCCCAGTCTGCACAGGTTCCCCTGCAACAAACACCAGCTGGGCTGAGACAGAGGCCTGAGCCTGCCCTGGCTCCAGATGCAGGGATTACCTTGTTGCCTTCAGCTGGGCCATCGCTTACAGCTGCTCCACTACCGGTTTGGTCAGGGGAGGCTGAGGTGGCCCCTGGGTCTAGTAACCCACTAACGTCTCCCGAGCTGCAGAGATTGAGGTCTGAGAGAAGGAGAGACCTGAGTACTCGCAGGATGAGTGGTCGCCTTTGAGCGAAAAAGGGAGGTGAGTCGCCGGGGGATCAGGACCGGCTGCTACCCTGACAAAGATAAAAGGCTGTCGGGCCCCGCCCCAGGTTGCGGGACCAACATTGCTATATGCCAGATCCTGTACCTGTCCTTGCCTGGTTTCCTTCCTCATGTCCTGCCTTGGCCTTGTTGGACTGACTGCTAGCGGAACCTTCGGATTCTGGACCGGTCCTGGACCACATTGCACAGGTTACCCCTGGGCCCAGCACACATTCCTCCTGCAGACTCACTGCTCTGTATCAAGATACAGAAGGGGAGGAGTGAGTTAAGAAACAGGAAGCAGAGAGTAGGAATGAATGGACAGTTCTTAGTATGGAGGAAAGTAGAAAGTTCTAAAATCAATGAATCAATGAGAAGGGAGTCCGAGATGGATGGGAGTTTCTTAAAGGTGAAATAAAGACTCCAGTGCAGACAATTTCAACAAGAAAGAAAAGTGGAAGGCATCTACAGAAGCCAGTATGACTGCATAAGGATCTTACAGATAAGCTGAGCTTTAAGAAGGGTATGTATAGGAAATGGAAGAGATGGGAAATCATGAAGGAGGAGAATACATGAATAGCCAACAGTTGCAAAGGTGAATATCAGGCGGGCTAAAGCTCAGAATGAGCTCAGTCTTGCAAGAGAGGTTAAAAATAATTTTAAAAGGTTTGTTTGGCTATGTTCAAATCAAGAGGAAGGACAAGAACGTGGTAGGTCCTCTGTGTAGAAGATGGAGAAATGCTACTAGGTGACAGAGGGAAGGCAAAACTGCTCAACACCTACTTTGCCCCTTGTCTTCACTCAAAAGGAAAGCAGTGCCCAGTGCAAGGAGGGACCTGCAGCCCAAGATAGGAATAGAGGGAGGTAAGAGAACACCCAGCTTCTTTAAACAAATTCAAATCTTCAGGGCCTGATGAGCTGCACCCAAAAGTACTAAAGGAGCTTGCAGATGTAATCTCAGAGCCTCTGTCTA